GGACTGGATGGGCCATTGGCCTGATCCAACATTGGCTTCTCTTATGTTCTTAATTGGTCTGCAGGCTAGAGATATTAGTTCCCTTGGAAAAAATGGCTGCCATGGATGGTGCGCTATGTCATTATATCCCACCGAGGCCCCTTCCCTCCATGAACACTGCCCTCCCCAGGCTCGCTCCGTCCTCAAATCTCCACAAACATCTCCATTTCCCAACCCACAGATGGCAAATGACATCCGTGTATGCTTTCCAGCCTCACCACAGCTATCAGTGCCTGGCCACACCCATGCCACAGCCTGGCCCGGTTTCTCCAGTGAGCCGATGGGGTCCGCCTCCTTCACGTTTAGCGTCTCAGTGTCTGCTGCTATGTTCGTGGTCGCGTTTCCCTGATCTCCCAAGTCAGACTGTGCATTTCCAAACATGTGTTTGTTGCTTGGCACTTTACAGATTTAGATATATACTGCTCCTAAAAGTGTCAGGAGGACACCATAAAAAAAATGCAAGATGAAGAAAGGCCTCCGGATGGTTTGTCCGCTTAGGGAATCCTTGACTGTCTCCATGACCGTGACAACCAGCTCCTGACAAATACAGCCAGTTCATGATATTCATTCTCCACATGACTGTGTGCCTGTCCACACGCCAGACTCCGATAGCAAGAACTGGCCTGAACGTCTCACCCGTAACTTCTAAAGGACAAGGGAAGCAACTTTGACACTACTCTTGTGGTGTCAGGAGGGGGATGAAACTCCCGGAGCTCTGCAAAAATTACCATCGATACTTAGCTCACACAACGCAGTTGAAACAGGCAAGGCACGTGTGTGAATCCTGAATTGCTGAGTGAACAGAGAAATCTTAGAATCATAGAGTTGGAAGGGACCTCCAGGGTCATCTAGTCCAACCCCCTGCACAATGCAGGGGATTCACAAATACATCCCCCCACACACCGCCAGTGACCCCTGCTCCATGTCCAGAAGTAGGTGAGTAGGTGGCCAGGTAGCATCCTTCGAGATCTAGTCACCCAAGACCCATGTGGTACCATTTCTGGTAGCCAATGAACCACGGTACTGGGCAGGGTGGGGCCAAGAGCCTGATGGGACCGAGGCACGAAAACCTATAGCTGAATGAATACACTAACTTGAGAAGGCCCTCCTATTTTTTCCCAAAAGAGTAGGCTAGATTTGGAGTAAGGTTGTTATTCCCCAGTAAGGGGTGGGGGATTCCCTGGTTTTGTGGGAAACCCTCCTCCCAAAAGAACGGCGACATCGCCAGAAATAAACACGACGTGCCTACATTATTCGGAAGTGACGTAGGCACGTCGGTGGGCGGTGCTCTGGTTCTTAGGCAGAACTCTGTGGTTTGAGGCTGACTTTTACCATAGAGTTTTGCCCAAAAACCAGAGCGTCACCCCCCAACATGCCTATGTCACTTTTGGGTGATGTAGGCATGACACATAACAATGCTTCTGGCTCCCGAAACGTCCCCCAGAACCCCCCAGTGTTTCCGATGGACTTGGCGACTCTAATTTGGGGGAAAGAGGAGGGGTCAGTAAAACTCTCTTGTAACTTGAGTTCATTAAATCTAGGCACCCTCTGGAACAGCAGGCGCAAACCTTTGCCCTCTCCCATCTGACAGCATCCTTTGGGTCTTTGAAGACCACCATCAGCCTTCTCTTCTCCAAGGGGAAACATATCCAGGTCCTTCCACCTTGCCCTATAAGACTTGTTTTCCACTCTCTGATAGGGTTGCCAAGTCGATCTTCGCCAGAAGTGACGTGATGACACCAGGCACGCTGGGGGCGGGGCCACAGCCATACAAGGGAAAACTATAGAGTGCCCGGCGTGGTCGCGTCACTTCCAGGTGACGCGCATGTCGGGGAGGAGCTCCCCCTAGGGCCCGATCTGGCGGCGCCAGGGAACAGGCCTTTGGGGTGGGGGTTTCCCCGCCCCGCGGGGGGACTTGGGAAGCCTACACTCTGACCATCCTCGGTGCCCTCCCCTGGATCCATTCCTATTGGTCTGTGTCTTTCTTAAAGCACACCGCCCAGGTGCTTCATGGATCACACGTCATTACTGCTTAGAACCGGGGTCCCCGACCTTTTTGAGCCTGTGAGCAGGTTTAGAATTCTGACACGAGTGGCGGGTGCAACCCAAAAATGGTTGCTTCGGGAGGCGGAGCCAGCACTAAAAGTGCTGTCACAGGAGGAGGAGCCAAACACAGAGGAAGCCAAAGTGCAGGGGGAAGAGGGGTGTTTTAAAAAATACTCCGGAAAAGGGGAGTGAGAGAGAATAACACAAACAGCGTTATTTTAACCATCATAGTCGATCAGATCTTCAGTGGCCAATCAGAAGCCTTGCTGGGCAAGAGCCACACCTGGCTGCACCCACCTTCTAAAAAAACTTGGTGGACCCCAAGAAATGTGTCGGCAGGAAGCATGGCACCCACGGGTACCACGTTGGGGACCCACGACTTCGAAGTTAAGCCCCGCAGAAATTCTTAGCACAGCACTGGCGGTGGGGCTGCTTTCTTGACATTTGTTAACCTCTGCCTATCAGATGATCTTTAAAAGCGCCATGAAATCTCAGAGCCCAGTTGTGAGTGATGCGCATTAAACACACAATAGAATTAACCCGGTTCTGAAAGGGCAGCCTGGCATAGGAGCGGCCGCCGGGGCACCGGCGCTGCCTTTGGATTCATAATCAGGTCAGAAAAGCAGGCGGGGGTGGGAAGAAAAGAAGCCTATTTATGCCAAGACAGTGAATTAATCAGCCCTCTAAGCAGCCAGAGAGAGGGATCCTTAGAGAAATGCTTTCTACCGGGTGAGACATTAGACATTTTGTTTAAAGATTAGACATTTTGTTTAAAGATTAAAGTTCTCTTTGTGCTTAATCGGTTTCTAGGGCAGGATGGAAAACGGGATTAATTACAGTCCCTTGCATCGCGCGCCGTACTGCCGGAGCCGTAAACGATGCTACTTCCCTGCAAAATGGCCGCCATTCTGGAGCAGCAGGCTCAGGAGATGCTAATTGTAATTAAAGCGTGTGGTTTGGAATCACAGAACAGAGTCTTAATCGGGGAAGAGAACAAGAGGCTCCCTGCATGCACTTCCACAACACATGGCTGTATAACAAAATGGCTCTTTGGAAACAGGTCGTTTGTTTTGAATGGCTTGAGCTGCCTTTGATGCCAAGCTGCTTGGGGAGGGGCACACCTCCTCTTCTCGGTGGGATTCGAGAAGAGTCTGATTCGGTTAACTGTTTAGAAAAGCCTGGCTCATTAAGAGATCTCAAAATGCTTGCAAAAAGCGAATAAAATTATCCTGCTGTACTAAGAGAGAGCCAGTTTGGTGTAGTAGTTAGGAGCGCGGACTCTAATCTAGGAGAACCGGGTTTGATTCCCCAGCCCCAGCCCTCCACACGCAGCTGCTGGTGTGACCCTGGGTCAATCACAAGTTCTCTCAGAGCTGTTCTCTCACGAGCAGTCCTCGAGAGAGCTCTCTCAGCCCCACCTACCTCACAGGGTGTCTGTTGTGGGGAGGGGAAGGGAAAGGAGATTGTAAGCCGCTCTGAGACGCCTTCAGGTAGTGAAGGGCAGGTTATAAATCCAATCTCTTCCTCCTTCTCTTCTTCTTCTAGAATAAATGTGGACCATCTTGCCCACGATGAGATTAAGTGGGTGGCAACCCGGGAGAGGCCCTTCTCAGTCATGGCACCAAAGCTCTGCAACTCTCTCCCAGGGAGATATGTCTGTCCCCTTTTGTGGCCATCTTCTGCCAGCAGGTGAAGACTCTTCTTTGTTTTGCTTGGCATTCCCTCAATGATCCCTCCTTCCCAACCAACGTTCTTATGGTTTCCATGTATTTTAACTGAACAAAGTTTGAGTCCAGGGGCCCCTTAAGAACATAAGAGAAGCCAGTGTTGGATCAGGCCAATGGCCCATCCAGTCCAACACTCTGTGTCACACAGTGGCCAAAAACACCAGGTGCCATCAGGAGGTCCACCAGTGGGGCCAGGACACTAGAAGCCCTCCCACTGTTGCCCCCCCCAAGCTTTCATGGGCATGCACACTTTCCAGAATTAAACTTTGTTCGTCTTAGTGGTGCCACCAGACTCAAACTTTGTTCTGTTGCTTCAGACCAACAGGGCTACCCACCTGAATCTATCCCTCCCTATATGTAAGACTTGAAGAAGTCTGTTTTAATGAATCTGAAGGCGTGCGCATGCATGCGAAGGCTTATACCGAGATTTAAACTTTGTTGGTTTTAAAGGTGCCACTGGACTCAAACTTTGGTCTGTTGCTTCAGACCAACACGGCTACCCACCTGAATCTATCCCTCCCTATACATAAGGCCTGAGGAAGTCTGTCTTAATGAATCTGAAGACGTGCGCATGCACGTGAAGGCTTATACCGAGAATTAAACTTTGTTGGTCTTAAAGGTGCCGCTGGACTCAAACTTTGGTCTGTTGCTTCAGACCAAGACGACTACCCACCTGAATCTGTGTCATTTAACCGTTATGCATATATTTTAACTCTGTTTCTAAAAAATTTAAAATTCGTTTTAACGATACATGTTTGGGAGGAGGGCGATTTTAATGGTTTTATAACGTGATTTTTTTATCATGTGTTTTAAATTGTTAGCCTCCTTGGTGGCCCTTGTGAGGAAAGAAAGGCTGGGTGTGAATTCTGAAAATAATAAATAAATAAACAAAATGCTCATCAAGGCTCTGGTGAGTTAAAGTCATTTGACCCGAAATAACACATACAGGAGAGAGCACCTCAAACAGGAACTGAACGTTTTCTTCTTGTTACCTGTCATTCGTTCAGAACGCAGCAAATACACATCCAGAAACCACCATGTTCAGATGGTTATTAAAGAAGGTTTGCCCACCAAAACCAACAATCCAGCAGACTATATTCACCCCTCTCTCTCTCTCTCTCTCTCTCTCTCTCTCTCTCTGAGCAATTTTTGTCAGAATCATTGTACGATTGTTCACATGCAACTTACCAGCATCCAAACATGGCTGCTCCCACTCAGACTCCGACCTTGGGAAAACAGACACGGGTGGGTCCAATCCAAGGGCACTGCCATCCAAATCTTTGAAGAGGGCTTTTCTCGAACCCACACACATCCCATCGACGCACGAGTCAACACTTGACTCATTTTCTCTGTCAGAGAATGGAGGAAATGTCAGAGTCAGGAGAAACCACCCAGGACTCAGTCCAGGAGGCTTTTTGTATTACTGACAGACGAAAATCAAACAAAGGGTGTAGTGGTATATTCAGTTTGATGTAGTGGTTAGGAGCCCAGAATTTAATCTGGGAGAAGCGGGTTTGATTCCCCACTTCTCCACATGCAGCTGCTGGTGTGACCTTGGGTCAGTCACACGTTGTCTCAGAGCTGTTCTCTCAAGGGCAGTCCTCGAGAGAGCCCTCTCACCCCCACCTCCCCCACAGGGTGCCTTTTGTGGGGAGAGGAAGGGAGAGGAGATTGTAAACTGCTCTGAGACTCCTTCGGGTAGTGAAGGGCGGGGTATAAATCCAATCTCTTCTTCTTCTGGCAGTGATGGAGAAAGCTACGGGTTTGGTTCAGATGTCACATGAAACCATGGTTTAATTAAACTAACTATGGTTACTGTGATCATCCAAACACAGGCTGCCCCATTAACTATGGTTACGTACGGTACATTATGGCTAATTTCACACGCATTGGATAATGCACTTTCAATATGCTTCAGCAACCCTTTGCAGCTTGATTTTCCTGTGCTAAACAAGAAAATCTATTTGCAAACAATTGCTAACGTGCATTGAAAGTGCATAACCCAGCACTTGTGAAATTTGCCTAAAATGGGATCTGAAACCACAGTTTGAAATTGGTTTATTAACCCCAATTTGCTTCATCTCTGGTTTTGTATGATGTATGAACATGCAGTACCAGTCAGGTCCCTGCAAGGGAGACAGGGAGAGGTCAAAGGACATGAAGCCAACATTTTTGCTTCAACTCTGGTTTTGTGTGATGTATGAACATGCAGTACCAGTCAGGTCCCTGCAAGGGAGACAGGGAGAGGTCAAAGGTCATGAAGCCAGCATTTGGTGAGGCGATCCAAAATATGATCATCCAAGAGCCAAATCTTGGTTTCACAAAGTCACATCTAAAATAAACCAAGACTTCATGTTCTTTTTCAGCCAAGCCCCGGTGTCTACAAACACATGACAATATAGGTTGCCCTCAATCTCAGCAGTGTTTCTTGCTCGCTTTGGTTGGAACCTGTGTTCACCAGTAACAAGAAAGGCTTGATTTGGAAAAAAATATCTGAAATGAACCATGGACCATCAAAGGAAACAGAAGTAATGCATCTTTCCATGTATTATTTCAGACCAAAGCAGATTCAGAAGACTACACAGGACACAGAAACCACAGTTTTTAGTAAGGTCTTTTCCGGATCCATGGGTTTATCTTTCTGCAACATCCATTTGGAAGCTGAAGACTACGTGCCACTATGTTTACTGTGGTCCTTTCCGCACTTGAATCTCATCCCTGGTTTTATCAGAGTTCAACTCACGACACAATACCTTGCATTTATCCCTGGTTGTAACAGCATCCGTTTATCCCGGGACGCGTGTGGGGCGAAACCAGGCTGACCTCAATGTAATGTGGAAACAAAGAACACCCCAAGATAATTACAGCGGTGAACTCGAGTGTAGGGTAGAATGTAAGTTCGGGGACAGGGTTGAACCAGGGTCTAAGGTCTAGTGCAGAATCACCCTTTGTTTGGGTTCCATTTTGCTAGAATTTGTCTCTATCTGCTGTGGCGGAACAGGCCTGCTCTGAATTGCAGGCTCTATTCTGCCCTGCCCTCCAAGGTTTTGCCCAACACTTGGAGGGGCTTTCTCTCTCTCTCTCCAGTTAAGTCACAACCACCACCTGACCTTTGTAAGGAATACCCTGCTGGGAAGGTCAGGGCTCCCAGCTTCCCTTCAAAGTTCTGAGGCCTTGCCTCTGTGTCTCCCGCTGCCCAGCGCCTGGTCACCACGGTGGCAGTTTAATGCTTTGCGTGCCCCTGGAAGAATAGGCACTTGCCAACTGCCTGACTGCCTTCCCCCCCAGCGCTCCTTTTAAAATAGCGTGTCCAAGACAGCAGAGGTCTTTGTGGTACAGAGAACCACTACCAGCATCAGAAGTTATAAAGTATTTATTAAAAAGAAAACGTTCATAAGAAGACTTTTAGCACAGCACCAAACTGAGCAAGGGATCCAAAAGAAATGGGTAAAATGCAAATCCTCTGTCCCTCTTTCTATCCATGCCCTATCAGATGTTAAAATAGGACAGGCCCCTTAAGCTTAAGAAGGTACAAATCTCTTACAGAGTTACCATTACTTTGAAGCTTGCTCCAAGCATACATACATTGCCCAGCCATTCACCTCACCTCAAAGAAAAAATCGCTGTTAATTACCTCCATGCTTGAGAGGAGACAAATGGAGTGTAACAAAAGTAAAAGGATATTTTTACACGAGCAGTCTCCTGTTTTGACATATTTACTGTGTTTCCCCCGAAATTAAATGCAAAGAAAATTAACTTTATTATAACTGTTTAGTTTTTGCATCTGCTAAAACAGCATCATCATGCTGTATGCTAATTCACTGTTCACCCTCTCTATATATCAATGAACTGTTACTTTCCATTTCACTGTATCTGAGGAAGTGTGCGTGCCTTATGTAAGCCGCCTTGAGCCAGTTTGTACCGGCAAGGCGGGGTATAAATTGGAAGTAAATAATTAAATACCTTGAATAAAGCTTCAATGGTTGTGTATGGTAGTTCAAAAAACATTTTGAAGAGGGGTTGTCCTATATTCAGAGTAGCGTTCCTTTGGGTTAAACATGGTACTTAAAACTAACAAAACCTTTTTACCCAGTTTGCGACGGATAAAAGTGAAACACATTCTCTTCGTTGACTTGGAGCATTCTTGTCCTCTTCGATGTGATCACATGCAGTAGGCCCCTGCTGTCAGGACTGGTCATGATGCAGACGTCTCTGTCATCGCTGTAGCAAGTCTTCCTAAAGCCAGCAAAGGTGACATCTGGCAATGATAAAGAACAAAGAAGGATGAATGGGACAGTTTGGTGTAGTACTTAAGTGTGCAGACGCTAATCTGGGAGTACCGGGTTTGATTCCCGACTCCTCTACTTGCAGCTGCTGGATGACCTTGGGCAAGCCACAGTTCTTTCATTTATATGTATTTTGTTTTGCTTATAATCCCCATAGTACAAATTTGTACGAAACGTCGTAACAAAGGAAGGAATAACATTTTAATTTATCCGAAATGCCTACAATATGCCCAAATTGGATTAATTTATAATATATCTATTGTCCTGTTTTAACAATCCTCTTGGGAACAGGGCAAGCCATAGTTCTGACAAGAGCTGTCCTTGAAAGGGCAGTTCTGGAAAGAGCTCTCTCAGCCCCACCTACCTCACAGGGTGTCTCTTGTGAGGAGGGGAAGGGAAAGGAGGTTGTAAGCCACTCTGAGACTCCAAGTGAAGGGCAGGGTATAAATCCAAATCAGGGCTCTTCTTGTAGCAGGAACTCCTTTGCATATTAGGCGACACACTCCTAATGTAGCTAATCCTCCAAGAGCTTACAGTAGCCCCCTGTAAGAAGAGCTCTGTAATCTCTCGGAGGATTGGCTACATTAGGGGTGTGTCGCCTAATATGCAGAAGAGTTCCTACTACAAAAAGAGCCCTGAAGTCCATGTCAGGGAGCTGACATATAGGGTGGAGGAGGGTCACTCCCCTCCTCCACCCTATATGTCAGCTCCCTGACAGTCCGAATACACCACGCTGGAAAGGGTTGGCCACTGAATCCTCTAAGAGAGCAAAACTACAGGATATATCCAAGACACATCAGGTCAGGGTTGCACAGCTGACTTGCTGTCAGATGTGCCTCAAGGAACTCATGTTAAAAAGCTCTTGTTTGGTCAGCACTGAGGGGGAGCGCTGGAAGGGGGGGGGAGAAGGAGCTTCCGGTTTCCTTCCCATGCTGTTTTTGCCAGTGGAAAGAGGGGGGAGGAGGAGGAGCAGGAGAAGGAGAAGAAAGAGGAGGAGGAGACAACGACAGTTGGATTTATACTCCGCCCTTCACTCGGGGTCTCAGAGCGGCTTACAATCACCTTCCCTTCCTCTCCCCACAACAGTCACCCTGTGAGGTAGGTGGGGCTGAGAGAGCTCTGAGAGAACAGCACTGAAATAACTTGTGACTGACCCAAGGTCACACCAGCAGCTGCATGTGAGGGAGTGGGGAATCAAACCCGGTTCTCCGGATTAGAGTCAACCACTCTTAACCACTATACCACACTGGGGGAGGATGGCTTTTCACCCCTTTTCTCTGGCTCTGTGTTCTCTAGGAAGGACAGGTGGAGCCACAGAAATGTGGGGGAAGGGCCCCCCTCCAACTTTTTCCACTGGCAAGAGCAGGGTGAGAGGGAAACCAGAAGCTCCTTCACAAAATGTCATAGTCCCACTGTATACCACATTTGTCAGGCCACACCTGAAGTATTGTGTGTGGTTCTGGAGGCCTCGCTTCAAAAAGGAAGCGGACAGAATGGAGTGGGTGCAGAGGAGAGTGACGAGGAGGATGATCGGGGGCCTGGAGACCAAGTGCTATAAGGAGAGGCTGGGGGACCTGGGAATGTTCAGTCTGGAGAGGAGGAGGTTGAGGAGGGACATGATGGCTCTCTTGAAGTGTTTGAAGGGATGTCACTTAGAGGAGGAGGGAACATAAGAACATAAGAGACGCCAATGTTGGATCAAGCCAAAGGCCCATCCAGTCCAACACTCTGTATCACACAGTGGCCAGAAATACCAGGTGCCACCAGGAGGTCCACCAGTAGGGCCAGGACATTAGAAGCCCTCCCACTGTTGGCCCCCCCAAGCACCAAGAAGACAGAGCATCACTTGCCCCAGAGCCCCTATCTATACCTAGTGGCTAATAGCCACTGATGGACCTCTGCTCCGTGTGCTTATCTAATTCCCTTTTGAAGCCGTCCACGCTTGTAGCCGCCACCACTTCCTGTGGCAGTGAATTCCAAGTGTTAATCACTCTTTGGGTGAAGAAGTACGGTACTTCCTTTTATCCGTTCTAACCCGACCGCTCAGCAATTTCATGGAGTGCCCACGAGTTCTTGTATTGTGAGAAAGGGAGAAAAGTGCCTCTTTCTCTACCTGTTCTTTCCCATGCATAATCTTATAAACCTCAATCACGTCACCCCTCAGTCGTCATTTATCCAAGCTAAAGAGCCCTAAGTGCCTTAACCTTTCCTCATAGGGAAAGTGTACCAACCCTTTTATCATTCGAGTTGCCCTTTTCTGCACTTTTTCCAAAGCTATAATATCCTTTTTAAGGTGTGGTGACCAGAATTGCACACAGAATGAGGTCGCACCATTGATTTATATAGGGGCATTATGATATTGGCTGATCTGTTTTCAATACCCTTCCTAACAATCCCCAGCATAATAATGTCCCAGCGGCACCCACAGATCTTGGCCACCGCTCGTGATGACTGGCTCATCACCCACTGTTGGGAACAGTCGACGATGGACCGACTTCCCTCGACAGCCCTTCGGAATTAAGCCCTTTTATTTCATTTCCTCATAGGGAAAGTGTACCGACCCTTTTATCATTCGAGTTGCCCTTTTCTGCACTTTTCCCAAAGCTATATTATCCTTTTTAAGGTGTGGTGCCCAGAACTGCACACAGTATTCCAAAAGAGGTTGCACCATTGATTTATATAGGGGCATTATGATATTGGCTGATCTGTTTTCAATACCCTTCCTAATAATCCCCAGCATAGCATTGGCCTTCTTGTTGGCAACAGAGGAGAGGACTGGCAATCATGAGTTTAAATTAAGAGCGGGAAGGTACCGGATGAATATTAGGGGGGGGGGGGATTGGCAGTAAGAGTTGTGCAACGCTGGAATCAGTGGCCTAGGGAGGTGGTGAGCGACCCCCTCAGTCTGGCAGTCTTTAAGCAGCAGCTAGACTAACACTCGTCAGGGATGCTCAGAAGTTCCCAAACTTATTTGGCCTACTGCCCCCTTTTCAGGGGGGAAAAAAGGGAAGGGAACCAGGAAAGGTGTTGGCATCCACGGGCACCATGTTGAGAACCCCTGAACTAGGCTGCAGTCCACAAAATCTTAACATTAGTATAGATCTTGTGTAAATATGTCTCTAAGGTACCACAAGACTCTGCTTGTTTTTACTGTAGCAGACTAAAGTGGCTATCTCTTTGGAAAGTGCAACCAATTTTGTCCATTTCGGGGAGAGTCCGAGGACCACTCAAGAGTTAAAACACGAAGTTAGACAAAAGTATCATTTCTTGTCTTTCTTTCTTTCTTTTGGTGCAAAGCTGGTTTCAGATAGATAGAATCTTAAACGGAGCCCCCACCTTGCAACGTCATGATTCCTAGCACTGCCGAATAATTGCGAATTTTATGCCACGGATGATCAGGCCAGCAGCTGGGCTGAGAGGTAAAAGGAGGCCACAGAATCCCGACACGACCCCTCCAAGGACTACGCGGCGCTCGATCCCGCATTGTCAGGTGAGCTGAAAGGGGGTGGATCCGGTCCTTGATACAATCGAAAGAAGAGCTGGTGGCCAAAAGTAGCGAGTTCCTAAGTTTGACGTGCTGTTTCCCGAGGTGGCACCGCGGCTCAGTGGAGGGGCAGAACAAAACCGGGAGAAGACCGACACTGTTGTCTACCAGTGTCACATTCTCTACCGCTACGTTTCCTTCAAGGTGAAACATGACCCCGTAGTCGTAGTTCTTGTAGGCCAGGAAGCCTGCGATTTTGGTGCAGTTAGGAAAGCCGTCTCTTCTGGACAGATGGACCCCGTGAAGGCTTGAATGAGCCACGTTGTCACCACAAAGCTCTTCCGCTGAGGAGCATTCCTGCCCTCTGATGTGAAAGGCGATCCGTTCGGAACCTGCCACGACGTTACTGCGTAAGCGGGCGTTATCGACCGCGTTGGTTTTGATGCCGGCCACCCAGGAGGGTGCCCCCTCTGGCTGCTGGCTCAGAACGACCAGATTCCTGAGGAGAGAATGGTCTTGGCCTTCCAAGTGAATGCCGTGACCGGCTGTGCCGAATACCACGTTGTCCCGCAGTAAGAGGCCGCTGCTTGCCACTGCTTGGATGCCGACCCCGCAGCTTAGGTGAATGCTGGAGGAGATGATGAAGGACTCAGAGGACGCACTCGTGATGTCCACTGCAGGGAACTGGGAAGATCCAAAGCTTAGGATCTCGACGTTGGAAAGCTGCAGCACACCTGAAATGTAGAAGAAGAAGAGGAGGAGGAGGAGTTGGAGGAGATTGGATATATACCCTGCCCTTCACTTGGTGTCTCAGAGAGGCCTACAACCTTCCCCTCCCCACAACAGACACCCTGTGAGGTAGGTGAGGCTGAGAGAGCTCTTTTGAGAACTGCTCTTGAGAGAGCAGCTCTGAGAGAACTTTAACTGGCCCAAGGTCATCCAGCAGCTCCAAGTGGAGGTGTGGGGAATCAAACCCAGTTCTCCCAGATTAGAGTCCGCGTTCCTATCGACTACACCAAACTGGGTCTTGCACTAAGAGAGCAGTTTCTCTTTCAGAATCCACAACTCCTTGAAGAAGCACAGCAGCAGGGCTTTCCCTGCCCCACTCGGGCCCTGCCGCCCATCAGCCTTAGGCCAGAGATGCAGCAACATCACTTCTGGAACATGCCGGGAGTTATGTCATTATGTTGCCGGCAATGCCGGACGCTCCGGTATTTGGGCAACAATGCTGAACAATCACTAGGGTTGCCACCCTCCGGATGGCAGCTGGAGATCTCCTGGGATCAGCTCCCCTGGAGAAAACGGCCGCTTTGGAAGGTGGGCTCTATGGCATTATAACCCTTTGAAGTCCCTCCCTTCCCCAAACTCCACCCTCCTCAGGGTCCATCCCCAAATCTCCAGGTATTTTCTCACCTGGAGCTAGGGTTGCCAGGTCCCTACCTGCTGCTGGTGGGGGGCTCCTGTCCTGGAGGTGACATCATCGTGCAGGGCACGTTGCAGGGGGATGCTCTAGCATTTGAGGGGGGAAAACTCTATGGTTACCATAGAGTTTTTTCTCAGATGCTAGAGCAGGGGTGTCGAACTCATTTGTTATGAGGGCCGGATCTGGCATAAATGTGACCTTGTTGGGCCGGGCCACGTGTGTCCTAAAATGTAATGCCGGGTAGCGGAGATGTAAACTTTATAAAGGACACAAACACAAATAATTTTTTTTTACTTAAAATAAAAACATGCTTAAAACATGAGCTCTGTAAGCTGCAAACCTAGTTTTGATTTATTGACATTCACCCCAGAAATCTCATGCTCAGAGGTCTGAGTCTAGGACCCAGGTTAAAACACGAAATGGCTGAGTGATTAAGAGAGTCTGGCGAAGCAAGCGATGATGCAGCAGCAGCAGCAGCGGAACTGGAAACAGGAGATGGCCGGTTCCACTGCGGGCCTGATGGAAGACCTACGGGGGCCTCATCCGGCCCCCGGGCCTCATGTTTGACACCCCTGTGCTAGAGCATTCCCCCCCACACAAGGTGCCCTTCACGATGACGTCACCCCAAGATGACATCATCATGCCCGGCAAGTCAGTGCAAATGGGGCTGCTCGGGGGCGGGGCTCCCCCCACCGGCCAGCTGAGCGACAGCGGATTGGGGCCCCTGAAAATGGGTAAACCTCCACCCCCACAGTAATGTAGATATCCAAAATCTAAAGACCAATTCAAATCAGGGGAACTGAGACCCAGTGTGGTATGGTGGTAAAGAGTGCCATACTAGTATAGGGAAGACCCGAGTTCAAATCCCTGCTTGTGCCACGGAACCTTGGACAGGTTGCACTATGCACCTTGTCATATGTTATGTTAATTTTTATGTACCTATTTTACCCCCCCTTTTGCATTTTCTTCTGGGAATAAAGGCGAAGTACAAATGAATTAAATAAACAATCCCTTTGTACTTGAATACCTGTATATTCAGTCCCACTGGCATTTCTGAAGCTGCCCACTAGAAGCCTCCCAGTGCAATCGCTGTCGGTTTTGATTTGTATATTCCTCGTCAGGAGCCCGATTTCCGCAGCCAGAGGAATCGGTTGCCCATCTTCTAATCGGTGGGAATGTCCTGTGCATGTCAAAAACAGAACAAGCATCACAGCAAATGTTCGACACTTTAGAACAGGGGTCCCCAGACTTTCTAAGCCTGCAGGCGACTTTGGGATTCTGATGCAGGGTGGGAGCTCGGGGCCGGAGCTCCTAGGTTTGCAGAAATCAAAAGGAAAATATATGCAAGATCCAGTTTGCTTACAAGGAGATCTTAAGAAAGCATCAAACTTCTAGATGATGGCAGGCTTCAGTCCACTGGGCCTTGAACGTACACAGCGAAGCCAACCCAGAACCCGAGTTGAGATACACAGCCAGGGCTCTTTTTGTAGCAGGAACTCCTTTGCATATTAGGCGACACACCCTTAATGTAGCCAATCCTCCAAGAGCTTACAGAGCTCTTCTTACAGGGGGCTACTGTAAGCTCTGGGAGGATTGGCTACATTAGGGGTGTGTTGCCTAATGTGCAAAGGAGCGCCTGCTACAGAAAGAGCCCTGGCTAAAACTGAACATCTTATACCTGAATTGCTGGATATGAGTCAAGAAAAGCATCAGCAAAGCTACATCCTAGACACTGAGAGACCTTGCACCTGGTACTCAGTGGCGGAGGGAAACTAGTCAGCTTTCTAGATGAGAACTTGCGAGAGTGTAAATGAAGACATTCTCATGGGAGTGGCCTGTCAGCCGTCTTCCCAGGCACTTTGAGGCCAGGAGCTAGCAGAACCCCAAGATGGGGTAACAGAGGTTATTACATGGGTGCAATGGCAAAATGGCTGCCACTGGAGGCAGAGCCCAACACAAAATGTCAGGGAGTGAAGTTATGCGTAACCAGGGGTCATTTCGTAGAAAAAGAGGTGCACTTTCCAGAGAGAGCATAACTCATTAGCATAACTTATTTGCATATGCCACACCCCCTGACATCACCGGAAGTGAGTCAGAAGGCAACATCCACCGCTCAGGCTCCACTGGACTGTTTTGGATTGCTAGCTATTCGGGGGGGGGGATGTGCAGATCTGTCCTTACAGAGGAGGGAGAGCTTGTACCTGAATAAGACTTGGTCTTAACGGTACTACTGGACTCTTTTGGACCAGGGGGCCGGGGGGAGCTCTGCAACTTACCTGGCTGCTTCTTGCTCTGACTGAGGGCTGCTGGGAGCAGGGGGTGGGGCTTGTTGCATGTGCCCACCCCCTGGGCTCTTTACTGCCGGAGCTCTGCTCCTGTGCGCTCCTGCAGGAAATGACCCCTGTGCGTAACTCTCACTGTAACTCTTCGACTTTTCAGGCAGAAGTGTGTTGTTGTTTTTTTAACAGGATGCCTTTTAATCTGCATGGCCAATCAGAAGCCCTGCTTGGCAAAAGCTCCATCTGACCTATGCCTACTTTCTAAAAAAACTCTGGAGGGCAGCGGGAAAAGTGTTGCTAGGTGCCACAGCATCCACCGGAGCCACATTTATTTTAATTATTTATTTACAAAATGTGTATCCTGCCTTCCTGCCCAAGGAGAAGACCCCTGCTTTAGAGCATCCAAGTGAGGACTCTAACACAGAGGAGTCAAACACATTAGTTACGGGGGTCGGATCTGACATAAATGTCACTTTGGCGGGCCAGGCCATGTGTGCCATAAAACACAATGCCAGGTACCATAGATAGAAACTGTATAAAGAACAGCAGCTGGTAAGCACTGAGTTGATGAATCCACACTGCAAGGCTGGGAGCAGGGTGCAGAGGAAGACCCACATGGCCGGATTGGAGAGGCAGCAGCGCAACGCTTGGGCAGATGCGCCCACGATGCTTGACTGCTGCAGACGAGGTCGTTCTGCCACGCTGAAGCCACAACGGAGAGGGAATTCTTGTACACTTTCCAGAGAGAGATTTTCCGAAACAAATTAAGATCAGATTTTCTCGGGTAGGAAACATTCGTTCTGTCGGTTCGGTATCAAATCTTCGTTTATATCACTCTGTGTGTGTGGCAAACTCAATGAACTCTCCAGGTAGCCAGTGCCACAGGGCAACTCTAGGTGCTAGATTAATGGGAACAACTGCACCTTCATTTCTTCTGGCTTGTACATGTCCTCTCTTTTTACATGCGTCTAAGTCTGATGTACCTTAACAGTAATGAGAAAAAACAGTCCCGTCCAGTTTGGAATGTGCCAGGTCCTTCAAAACAGTTTTGAAGGGTTTTAATTAATTAAATCTTTCCATCGTTCTGTGTTTATACCTCTGAGGATGCCAGTCACAGTTACTGGCGAAAAGTCAGGTTCTACAATGCCAAGACCACGGCCACACATCCCGGAAAATCTACAGCAACTAATTAATTAATTAATTAATTCAGTTTATACCCTGCCCTTCCCGTGAACGGGCTCTGGGCAGCTAACAGCAACAAATAATGCAATCTAAACTAATAACAATCAAACAATACAATAAAGCCAATTTAAAACTCTTAAAATGGACTATAATTTATTGTTTATTTTGGGAAGGAGGGACTAGGGCTTCCTCTGAAAATTCTTCAAAGCTCAGCAGCCCTGTACTAACAGTGGGGCATCTCGGGGCCCGGCCCCCCAACTTACTGCCAAGGGCCCCCCGTCTTCCAATTTTTCAGTTTATTTGTGGCACTCCCTTGAGGGTGCGTTGGGGGTGTCTGTGTGGGGTGCCCCCCGACTTATTTAAAGGCCCCCTGAATTAAAAAAATCCTGGCTACAGGCCTGAAGCTCAGAGTGACACAATCCATACAGACTCCTCCACAATCGCTTATCTGGCCACTTTTTCCACGAAAGATTCCCGACACATTTCCAACTGAGGAAAAGGAGACGGAAGCCACGAAGGCCTACAGAAGCGAAGAGCTCTTTCGAAGTCTCCAGTGCTCCCCATGGGCCATTGGACTAAGACTCTGTTTATCTCACCCACTGCTCGGAAAAGGAACCAATTGTCAGAGTATAACACCAAAGGATGACTGTTAAACATACCAGGGCTTCTGAGAAACCAACAGCCGGTATTGGGAAGTCTCTACGAATGCTGGCACAGAAATACACAGGCCGAAAATGACCAACTGCGTACCTAGATGCCTGTAGAGAAGACGTTCGCGGATTCTAATGCTATGACCGCTGACCTCTTCCAAAGTGGTTATTTCCGCTTGGTGGGCTTCGTAAGAAGAGGAGCTGATGACAGTGCTGTCCCCCTGATGCCAGTCCAACGGGTCTTGTACCCAAAACCTGTAAGCACACACACACACACACAAAATCAGGTGAAGCTTTCCAGATGCATGCCTGTAAAGGGCCATCGAGTCACAGTTGACTTATGGCAACCCTGTAGGGTTTTCACAGCAGAGGTGGTTGGCCATGGCCTGCCTCTGGGTAGCAAACTTGGACTTCCTTGGCAGTCTCCCATCCAAGTATTAACCAGGGCCAACCATTCATGGGTCCTGAGATCAGATGAGGTCGGGCTAGCCTGGGCCATCCTGGTCAGGGCAGGGGTGGTTTGCCATGGCCTGCCTCTGCATAGCAACCCTGGGCTTCCTTGGCGGTCTCCCATCCAATATTATCCAGGGCGGACCCTGCTCAACTTCTGAGATCTGACAACTCTGGGCTAGCCTGGGCCATCCTGGTCAGGGCAGGGGTGGTTTGCCATTGCCTGCCTCTGCGTAGCAACCTTGGACTTCCTTGGCGGTCTCCCATCCAAGTACTAACCAGGTGTTGGATCCCCAAGCATCGAGAATAAATCCACGTTTCAAAAGAAAGCAAAGTTTATTTCAAAGCATTGGAAAGAATACTCAAACACGTTCCTTGTTAGAACTGAGGACAGGCAGTTAGGGCAGACATGATAAAGGGATTCAAGTTAGTTACATATCCAATGAATAACGTTCCCGCTGGCGGGCAGAAGAAAACGGTTGCGCGCCCAGGTCCTGGGAAACAGGCAAACAGTAGACATAACACAGGTGCCGTTCTCAGGCTTGATAAGCAACAAGCTAGTAGCGAAGCATACTCTCCCCCACACAACCTCCAGTTGTTTTACTTTAGCATTACAGCAGGGAAACACAATGGCCAGCTGGCAGGGACAGGGATCACATATGTACAAACAGAAGTCACACAGAACACCATGGCAGCTTGCTGACACCAGGGCCGACCCTACTAAGCTTCTGAGATCTGATGAGATCGGGCTAGCCTGGGCCATCCTGGTCAGGGCAGGGGTGGTTTGCCATTGCCTGCCTCTGCGTAGCAACCCTGGACTTCCTCGGCGGTCTCCCATCCAATATTAACCAGGGCTGACCCTGCTCAGCGTCTGAGATCTGACAAGTCTGAGCTAGCCCGGGCCATTCTGGTCAGGGCAGGGGTGGTTTGCCATTGCCTGCCTCTGCATAGCAACCCTAAAGGGTTCCTTCATGGCTGCCCTTCCAAGTCTCTGTCTTCTTCTGATTTCTTTCTCGCAGTCTCCCTTTTGGTTGACGACCGAGAAGAGTGAACTGGGGCACTGAAACAGCCTAGAATATGTTGAAGGAAGCCCCACAGAGTCTGCCTGGCTTGGATCTGGACCGCTGCAGCGATGGCAATTAGTGGGGGCTCGACACAGGTGAACCTGCATCCTTTGACATCATCACCGCAGCCCAGGTCTGATTGGCTCAGCCTGGTCCTTTTTGCCAGCATCCTCCCAGGGCAGCAGCCCTCCAGTTGAAGGGAGGCCCCGTCCTAGCCAGAAACACACTCTTATTTTTGCCATCAAGTCATGCTGACTTCTGGCGACCCCTAGTGGGGCTTGTAGGCAAGGGGCGTTCGGAGTCGGCTCAGAACGCTCTTCGGGTGATTTCCCACAAGCGCTGCTCCATGCTCACTCCTCCCTTTTGCCCCGATGGTACGTGTCAATTTCACACAAGCTGCTGCGCAACCGCATTTTGCCCCGCAGCTTCATGCAATTTTCCCCGCTTCTACTCAATCCTCAAAAAACAAGCTTGAGTAGACGCGGGGAAAATCGCACCAAGCTGCGGGGCAAAATGCGGTTGCGCAGCAGCTTGTGTGAAATTGACACGTACCATCGGGCCAAAGAGAAGAGTGAGCGCGGAGCAGCGTTTGTGGGAAATCACCCTTCCTTTTGAAGCACCAGGGTATGTGCCCTCTGAAATGGCTTTCTGTCATGGCACCAAAATTTTGAAACTCCTTCCACAGGGACATTTGTCTCCCTCTGTTGGTGTATTCTCCCAGCAGGGGAAGACTTTGTTGTTTTGTTGGGCCACAGCCCCGATAATGGATATTAGCCCCCTTCCCTAGTTCTGACGCTGTTTGTGCGTCTGTGTGTTTTACGGAATTATTTTATAATTTTAAATGTTCTTTTTAACCGTTCAACTGTTTTTATGTTTCTATGTTCACCACCTCAGGGACCCTTATCGGGTGGAAAGGCGGCATGAAAATATTTTAAATCAATACATAAATAAGAATCATCGAATCATAGAATGTTAGAGTTGGAAGGGACCTTGCAGGCCATCCAGTCTAACCCCCTGCACTCTGCAGGAGCACAGCCGAAAGACAGCCCTACAACATAGCCGAAGGATGGTTGTCCAGCCCCCTCTTGAAAACGTCCAACAAAGGAGCATCCACCACCTCCCGAGGCAGTCTGTTCCACTGCTCAACCACTCTTACAGTTAGGAAGTTTCTCCTGATATTTAGCCAGTATCGACTCCCTTGTAATTTCCACCCATTAGATCTAGTCTTGCAATATCCGGAGCAAGAGAGAATAGATCCATTCCATCTCCTACATGACAGCCCTTCAAACACTTGAAGACTGCAACCATGTCCCCTCTAAGCCTTCTCTTTCCCAGGCTAAACGTACCCAACTCTTTCAGCCTTTCCTCATAAGACTTGGATTCCAACCTCTCACCATCCTGTTTGCCCTCTTCTGGACACACTCGAGCTTGTCAACATCCTTCCTAAAATGTGGTGCCCAAAACTGGACACAGTACATAAGAACATAAGAGAAGCTAATGAGTCCAACACTCTGTCACACACTGGCCAAAAAATATCAGGTGCCATCAGGAGGTCCACCAGTGGGGCCAGGACTCGCTTTAGCAGGTGCCATCAGGAGGTCCAACAGCAGGATCAGAACTCCAGAAGCCTTCCCACAGTTGCCCCCACCCCCAAGCACCAAGAATACAGAGAATCACTGCCCCAGACATAGTGTTCCATTCTAGAGCTTGTGGCTCATAGCCACTGATGGATCTCTGCTCTTAAGAACATAACAGAAGCCATATTGGATCGGGCCAGTGTCCCATCTAGCCAATGAGTCCAACACTCCACCCAGTGGCCAAAACCCAGGTGCCATCAGGTGGTCCATCAGCATGGCCAGAACTCCAGAAGCCCTCCCACTGTGGCCCCCCCAAGCAGCAAGGATACAGAGCATCACTGCCCCAGAGTGTTCCATCTATACCTTGTGGCTAATAACCACTGATGGACCTCTGCTCCATATGTTTATCCAATCCCATGTGTTTATCCAAGGTAGTAGGTGATGTGAAAGGCCTCAGCCTGAGACCCTGGAAATCTGCTGTCAGTCTGAATAGATAATATCAACTTTGATGGCCCCATGGTCTGATTCAATATGAGGATACAGCACCAAGGATACAGAGCATCCCTGCCCTAGACAGAGTATTCCATCTGTACATTGTGGCTAAGAGCCACTGATGGACCTCTGCTCCATGTGTTTATCTAGTCCCCGCTTGAAGCTGTCTATGTTTGTAGCCGCCACCACTTCCTTCAATATCCGATAACTGGGAATGCGACTGCCAGAATGTCTGTGTTTTAGTCCCAATCCCCAGTCTCAGTTTTAGATTAGAAAGTCTTTGGAACTCTCCATACTTGCACAGGACTCAGTACAATGATGGCTGATAATGGGCACTCTCAAAAAGTGGGTTGGATCCCATGATCTACAAATGCAATTACTGTAGATCTTTCATCCACTGTGTTCATGGAAGCAGCGGCAAGGGCAATTTCATACCCTTCCCTTCCCCACTACAGCCTCCCACCCCATGTGACTATTTAGCTCATGTGGGTCTCATGACCCCTGGAAGAAACTTTCCCAAGGTCAGGAAGGACAGCTGGGTGGAGGGGAAATGCAGGAAAGATCAGGACTGGCAGATATCTCAGGATCCAACCCAGTTCTTGGAAAGATTTCAAACAACAATATTTGAAAAAAAAAATAAATCTTACCTTTCGTTTCCAGGGGCAACATCATTTCCAAGGCGTGTCCAAGAGATCCTGGTGTAAGCACTATGCATCTGCAGCTTCCCGTAAACTCCTTGGTGGGAGAAGAACCACAAGAGACCACGAGTGTGAGCACGGCAGTCATGCTTTCTCAGGCACACATATACACATTTCAGAACTGCTTGGTGGAGCTGGCTATTGTGAAGAATGGATAAACTCCAGAGGATGCTGAAACGAGCATGCAATTCTCTGCATTCCACTCACACTTTGCCTCACATAAAATGCCTACCTAAGTGCATATGAGGGATTCTTCCCCACATAAAATCCTTAATTAGGCCCACATTAAGTAGGGTTGCCAGGTCTGACTTGGGAAATATCTAGGGACTTTGGGAGTGAAGCCAGGAGACTTTGGGGGTGGAGCCAGGAGCAAAGATGTGACATCACTTTTGTGATGCCACTAGGGTTTCCAGTTGAGGTCAACAAGCAGGAAGGAACCGCATGCCTTCTTAAACGCTTTCCCTCCATTGGAAAATAATGGATGGTGGCACCTTGAGAACATAAGAGACGCCAATGTTGGATCAGGCCAATGGCCCATCCAGTCCAACACTCTGTGTCACACAGTGGCCAGAAATACCAGGGGCCATCAGGAGGTCCAGCAGTGGGGCCAGGACACTAGAAGACCTCCCACTGTTTACCCCCCCCAAGCACCAAGAATACAGAGCATCACTTGCCCCAGAGTTCCTATCTATACCTTGTGGCTAATAGCCACTGATGGATCTCTGCTCCATATGCTTATCCAATTCATAAGAACGTAAGGGAAGCCAATGTTGGATCAGGCCGATGGCCCATCTAGTCCAACACTCAGTCACAGAGTGGCCAAAAATACCTGGTGCCATCAGGAGGTCCACCAGTGGGGCCAGGAGACTAAAAGCCCTCCCACTGTTGCCTCCCCGCCCCCAAGCACCAAGAATAGAGAGCATCACCTGCCCCAAACCGAGAGTTCCTATCTATACCGTGTGGCTAACATCCACCGATGGACCTCTGCTCCATATGTTTATTCAATTCCCTCTTGAAGCTGTCCATGCTTGTAAGCCACCGCCACCTCCTGTGGCAGTGAGTTCCATGTGTTAATCACTCTTTCTTTTGGGGCTCATAGAATTGGACCCCCTGATCCGATCTTTTTGAAATGGGGGGGGGGGGGTTTCAGGAGAGGCACCACCAGCTATGCTTAAAATTTGGTGCCTCTACCTCAAAAAATAGCCCCCTCCCCAGAGACCCATGGATTGATTCTCCATTATACCCTATGGGGACCAATCTCCGCAGGGTATAATGACGTGTCCAACGGCCATCCCCCCCCCACTTTCTGACAGCCCTGAAGCTGGTGGAGGGGCTCCAAACCAGGGTATCCTCTGCTCCCAACTGGGGACTGGCAGCCCTAATGTTAACCATGCAACAAAGGACGTTCTAGGAGTAGCCTAGCATTCTGTCAAAGCCACGTGGAGGAAAAAAGCATGTTGTCCAGGAACCACGGACAGATTGCTAATTTTTCTAAAGGTTTTTCCCCCCACTCTCTGTGCCCCTGAGAATGTAAAATACGGTGCCCTTACCAACACTTCCAGGAGGGACACCTATTCCATCCAATCGATCGCAATAAACCTTCTCAGACGCCCGAAGGACAATTTGCAGCTTGTCTCTTCTTTCTAATGGATTCTGTAACGTCCCTTGGGAGAAAATATGGGAGACAGAAAGTTTGGTAACATGCCCACACAAAAAGTTAAAACTGAGTACGGAATGTGCTTAACTCCACTAATGCCCGGCGAATATTTGGATTTTTCAGTCTAGTTCTCTGTTTCAAAGATTGGCACTTGCAGTATTCAGTTCTGTGGGAGGTGGTGACACCCACTCATTCAGGTATGTAGATTACTTCAGAACTTTTCTTCAGTCGAAATTCAAGGATGGACTGGTATTTGGGAATACACTCCAATATTTAAGCAATCAATTCTGTCTCACAGAAATTCATAGTAAGCCTCAGTTGCAGGAACTGATTACTCATGGGTTTTTTCCAGGGGTCTTGTTGTAGAAAAAATATTTAAGCAATCAATTCTGTCTCACAGAAATTCATAGTAAGCCTCAGTTGCAGGAACTGATTACTCATGGTTTTTTTTTTTCCCCTGTCATTTCAGACAGACCCATTTTAGTAACTGGTTCCTAACAGAACATATTTACCTCTTCATACAATGGCCAGTGGTCTACCGTTTTGGAAGCGTATCTGAGGCATTGTTGATGAAAACTGCTTTCCTCAGGTCTTCCTCCAATGACGGGTTTTTCGCGCCCTTCCCCCCACCCCCCCCGTGCCACTTCTCTTCTTTCCTTTTTTTAAAAAAAAATGTTCTATTGGGAGCGCTATAACACTGAAACAGGATGTCAAATCAGCGTCATAGTGCTTCCAATAAAATGTTCAAAAAAAAATCCTCTCAGGGAGATCGTGCGCGTGGAGGGAAATGGCGGGAAAAGAAAGTGGCACAGTTTGAAATGGCCACAGAGCTTCACAGACGGCTCCTTACCAGAAGGGAATGCTTTGTGAAACAGCCATCCCGGTACCAGTTTCCTCCATGATGGGCCAATAACGGAAACCATGCGGTTTAAAAAGGTAATGTGAAATCAAAATCGACCACATTTGCAGATGTATCTAGATAACTTGTTCGTTGGATTTCTGGATCTCTCCTGAACATCAGAACTTTTGAACTGACTTACAATATACATTTTGACTGCTTGATTGGACCATGCAAATGATCTACATTATTTACCACACCCATAGTGTACCAGTCTCTCCTTGCTCTTTGAAAATAGTCTCATATTAATTTCTTCATCATTTGTAATGATTGCATATTAGTAACAACAGAACTTGATAATATGCCTTTCAGAATAATCAGATGCACTTTTCACTTTGAGAATAATTCTTGTATATCTTTATTTAGCTTATTTTTAAAAAGCCAACGTATCACAGTGTCTTGTCTGCATTACTTCTTGTTATGTTGACTGTGATTCCTCTAGATCACTGGAAATGATGTCATTGCATGCCGACAATCACTCCCACCTACCCCACCCCTGTTCGGCCAGCCTGCTGACCAGCTGAATGTCGGCGGGCAGGGGCAATAATTGCTGGGAGTTTGCCCAATATTAGTGGGTACCTGGGAAGCCTAGGTGAAAGGGAAATCATAGAATCAGAGATTTGGAAGGGACCTCCAGGGTCATCTAGTCCAACCCCCTGCACAATGCAGGAAATTCACAAATACCTCCCCCTCCACACCCGCAGTGACCGCTGCTCCATGCCCAGAAGATGACAAAAAATCTTCTGGGCGTGGAAGTTCAAGGTTCCCTCTCCCTCCCCACCCTACAAAGTAATCCTGCCACTTCAATTTGCCAATGGAAAAGAAAAATCATTTTAAAATAAATACAGGAAGAAAATCTAAGATGTAGATGAGGCCTTCATCTTTATTCAATATCTCTCTAATAGTATTATTTAGGGCTAAGAGGATGCAAGTGGGTGAAAGGCAATGAGGCCACGTACCACTTTTAGTTGACAAAATGCTCTGGACCAGTCCCATTATGTGTGTCCCGGGGGGGGGGGGGCAATGTTACAAGCTTATGCTGGACACAATGGAAGAGATCCTTGGACCCAGTCTGACCATAACCAGAGCTGGTTTACAGACCAGACGTTCAAATTATAAGTGAATTTCCAAGATTAACGAAAAGACACTGAAAATGTGAGAAGAAGGGGAAATGAAGCAAAACCTGGGGAAGGGAGGGGGAGCTACGGCTCTTATCTTGCGATAGTGTCTGTACAGCGAGCTGTATTCCAACTGTGAATCCATTTATTTCACCGAGGGTAGTTTACAGTCTGGGAAGAAAATGGCCCAGCACTAAACAGATACTCGGAGGGAAAAGTAGGACAATTTCTGCCCTAGAGAAATGTAAGTGGAGTCCGGTAAGAGAGTTCAGCATTCCTCTAAAATTAGAGATTAAATCAATTATACACCACAAAGCCGCGGCAGATGTAGAAGTGAAGAAATAAATCTGTGGAGAATTAGCCAGACTGTCATGATCTCTTAATATTTTAAAAATTATGCATTTGATGGGGAGGGGCGGGAGGGGGAACAAGCTCATTATGTATCTTAATAAAACATTTCTCAAAGACCCACACACACACTGAAATGACTGTTTCATGAAGTTGTTACCCTGATCTCACTGAAGGAGTCTAGGCAACACTAGCCCTGATCTAGAGAGGGGGATTTTAAAAGTTATTAATATTTAAACTATTTATATCATCCCCGCCCACCAAAAGGTGTACAGAAAAACTGCTAAAATCAAGGAGACGTTTAATGAACATAGCCGAGGCTACCTAGAAGGAGTGAACCGTTCTTCGGTCAAGGGTATACGATAGCTGCGCTCCCCTGCTAGAACCTCCAAACAAGCTCAAGGTCCATTGAGAGCCAGTTTGGTGTAGTGGTTAAGTGTGTGGACTCTAATCTGGGAGAACTGGGTTTGATTCCCCACTCCTCCACTTGCACCTGCTGATGTGACCTTGGGTCAGTCACAGTTCTCTCAGAGCTGTTCTTGAAAAAGAGCAGTTTCTGTCAGAGCTCTCTCAGCCCCACCTACCTCACATGGTGTCTGTTGTGGGGAGGGGAAGGGAAAGGAGTTTGTAAGCCGCTCTGAGACTCCAAGTGAAGGGCGGGGTATAAATCCAATCTCTTCTTCCTCTTCTTTTTCTTCTTAGATCTTGTCAGATCTCGGAAACTAGTCCTGCTTAGTCCTCGGATGGGACACTACCCTGGAAGTCCAGGGTGGCTACGCAGAGACAGGCAATGGCCAACCACCTCTGCGTTTCTCCTGCCTTGAAAACCCCATGGCAGGAATCACCAGTGTGGTGCCCCCCTCAAGCTTCACGCTGCCCACCTCGTGCTTTTAGAAAGTGGGCAGAGCCAGGTGGGGGTTTCTGATTGGCTGTTTGTATTTTTAAAAATGTTGTTTTGGCAGTAGCTGCCACCACAGCACCACAGCACACATCGTGTGACCGAAGGGAAGCCAGGGAAGCCATTTTGTGGCTGGCTCCGCTTTCTGCGGCAGCCATTTTGTGGGAGCCATTGTGTGGCCCCACTGGTGGACCTCCTGATGGCACCTGGTCTTTTTGGCCACTGTGTGACACAGAGGTTTGGACTGGATGGGCCTTTGGCCTGATCCAACGTTGGCTTCTCTGATGTTCTTATGTGGCTATACCCAACGTGCTTCGTCAGAATTTCAAAGGTGCCTGTGGGGTCAAAGAGTTTGGGGACCCCTGCCCCACAGGGTCACCATAAGTCAGCTGTGACTTGACAGCACTTCACACACACACACACACACACACACACACACACAAACACACAAAACGAACTATTCAGCAGCATGTTCCTTAAAAAAGTGAGGTCCAAGCTGGTTTGTAATGCCTTATAACACTTCCACATATTATGAGTCGAACACCATGAGTGATATTTTAAATTAACGTGTTCGATTCTGCATATGCAAAATTTTCTGTGGGTCCAATGGCTGGCAACCCTAGTGTGGGATAACGGCCGCACGATCTGTAGGGTTGCCAGGTCTGGGGTTGGGAAATACCTGGAGACTTGGGGGTGGAGCCTGTGGAGGGCAAGGTTTGGGGAAGGGGGGGACGTCAGTGGGACATAACGCTATAGAAACCACCTTCCGAAGCAGCCATTTTCTCCAGGGGAATTGATCTCTCTCGCCTGGAGATCAGTTGTAAATAGGGTTGCCAGGTATGGATTGGAAAATACCTGGAGACTTTGGGGGTGGAGCCAGGAGAGGGCGGGGCTTGGGGAGGGGAGGGGCCTCAGCCGGGTACAGTGCCATAGAGTCCATCCTTCAAAGCAGCCATTTTCTCCAGGGCAGCTCACCTCTATCAGCTGGAGATCAGTTGTAAAAGCGGGAGATCTCCAGGCCCCACCTGGGGGCTGGCAACCCTGGTTGTAAATCCAGGAGATCGCCAGGTCCCACCTGGAGGTTGGCAAGCCTAGGTGAGAGGAGACCTGGGAAGACTTTCAGCCGCCAGTGCTTTCTGCGGGATCTGAGCCACTGGTTGTGGCCGCAACTGAGCCAAGCAAATGCCCCCAAAGATGTTTGGTGGGTTTGTTCTTAAGGCTCTGTGGTCCAGCCGGCAAGCCCAGGCAATGCCCTGGCGTCTCGAAACAGAGACAATGTGCAGGTCCCAAGCTTGTCTGGCCAAGCTTATGCTTAGGGAGATGTGACACCCCCTCTCCTCCCCCCTCGCGCTCACTGCGGTGGTGGAAAGTGTGGTCAAGTCACCGCTGGCCTACGGTGACCCAGCAGGGTTTCCAAGGCAAGAGACGTTCGGAGGTGACCTGTCTTCGCCAGCCTCTGCGTAGTGGCCCCGGGCTTCCCTGGTGGTCTCCCATCTCCTGACTACTAACAAGGGCCGACCCTGCTTAGCTTCCGGGATCTGACGAGAGTGGGCTACCCTGGGCTACCCAGGTCGGGGATCTAGCAGCTGGTGTTTTGGGAAGACAAAAATGGACGCAGGCGTCTGGATCTGATGCAAGACCGTAGCCAGGGTTTGTTTGTTTTTAATTCGGGGAGCCTTTAAATAAGTCAGGCACTAACCCCACAAACATAAAAATAGATTTTTAAAAACTCACGTTCACCAATT